AGGCAGGCAAACCATTCTCTATCTCCATTTTATAGAGATGAAGAGATTAAGTAACTTTTCCATTATTACCCAGCTGGTGAAGGCAGAGCCAAGACATTCACATGCAGGTAGTCCTGTATTTCCAGAATTCTTGTTCTGAATTGTATTACATGGCCTATTTTTGGAAAATACAATTGTCTTCCTAGGAACCAGAAAGGTTAAAAATAATTGATCTAATCATAGACAAGACTCAAGAGTAATACCAAAAGAGCCAGTGAGACATGAGGAGAAGCCTACCATGTGTCAAGTATTTTACATTTTAGCAAAGTAGGCAGCTAACTATAACAAAGTAGATTTATTGGCCCCCAAATTCAAAATAAAATTTTAGTCTACAATGTTATTAATGTTGTTCTGTATCATCGCTTTGTTTTAAATTCAGAGTAGCCTCTTGTGACAGAGTGGCACTGCCCCACATGGTTTCCTATGCTTTATGGGAGCAGATTATCAAGTCTTTCTTCCAAGGAGCCACTGAATGAGTTTGACCTGCCAACCTTTTGGTTAGCAACCAAGTGCCTAATTACTGTGCCCCCAATTATCCCTACTTTACACAGACATATGATGCTCAGAGAGGCTAAATGATCTGTTTAGGGTCCAAGCTAATAAACAGTAGAGATGTTGTTACTGTTGTTAAGTGTTGTTGAGTCAGTTCTGACTCATAGCGACCTTAGATAAGGTTTCCGAAGAGTGGCTGGTGGGTTTGAACTGCCAACCTCGTGGTTAGCAGTCCAGTACTTATCCTACAGAGCCATATCAGGACTCCTTCTGAGTACAGGAACTGGAAAATGTTTTCAACAGACTTCAAATAACAAATGCAAACCACTTGGAGTCTATTAAATATTTTAGAACTATGTCAAGTTAGTTAAGAATGTGAAGTTGAATTCTAGACTAAATCTTGGGTTATAAACTTCACACAGATTAAGCTAGCACAAGTACATTATAAGACTCACTCATGGGTAAAATAGTTCAACATTTAAAAATATGTGTTATACTACTTAGACAACAGGTAAGTGTGGCCCCACCAGAAAAATGGAAAAGGATGCTAATTCCAGTGGTTAGTCTTTGGAGTTGAAATCTTTCTGCTTTAGATCTCCTACAAAGTAAATTATAGCTGAAAGCCAGTTAGGTTCCAACAAGAACTGGAACACCAATCCCTTGGAAAGGTGCTCTTGGTTGGTACCTGCTCTGTCACAGATGCATTTTGTAATTAAGTGTATTATTAATTATTAAAATGATATAATTGTATTAACGTATTAATAGAGCTTACTGCTGTCTATGGAGTCCTGGTGTGCCACTGTGGGTTAATGCGCCAGACTTCAAAGCCATCTGAACTGCAAGATCGGCAGTTCAAGCTCACCAGCTGTTCCTTGGAAACCCTATACAGGGTCGCTATGGGTTGGAACCAACTCATTGGCACTTCACAACAACTGCTGTCTATACATTATAAGAGACTAGATATTAAAGGTATCATGCTTTATAAAGAGAGTATTCTACTCATAGCAAGATATACTGAGCTGATGCATCTATGTACCATTTTATTGAACTTTGCAACCAAATATATACATTTATGAGACGGCTGAAGTTTGAGACAGTAACATGCATATGCTTGCTCAACTCAAAGCCAGCAGTCTAAATGTGCTAAATTATACTTTATCAAAACTAAAATAACCAAGGATAAATGATTTTGAAAGAAAATTTAGGGAAAGGCTAAGGCCTTGAGAAAGAATAAACTATATTTCTAATTAAAAATTTTTAATTGGGTTTTAAATATCTAAAACTTCTTCACCATCAAGTTTTAAAACAGTTACTAAGGACAACACATACTCTCAAAAAGTGCACAATATAAAATGGAACAAGGATTATCAGGTATGAAACATGTTTTAAATATAAAAATGCATAAAGTCAATACATTTAAATGTTCATAGATAAGGTAATGATATAAGAAGATAATACATAATGAAAAATAGAGTCCCAGAATTGGTTAAAAATGATTTAAAGCAGAATAAATCATAAGAAGTAATTATCAGAATGGATTTCTGGTGTGGTGTTGAAGGATCATTGCTGGACTGCAAGCCACAAGGTCAGTAGTTCAAACTCACCAGCTGCTCCTCAAAACCCTATATAGGGCCTCTAAGAGTCTGAACCAAGTCAACATCACTTAATAACAACAATTACCAGAGCAATTTGACTAAACTCAAAAACTATGAAAATTTGCATACAAAACTTTCTTGTGAAGAATATAATTTACTTGCTACTTTTTTCATCTTAAGTGAGCACTTGACATTTTAGAACAGTATGTATCAGTATACCTAGAAAGCTAGGACATCATTTGGACAGAGGCTGGATGATCGTTTACTGCTTGTAAGCAATAGTTTTCTTGATTGTTGTGATTGTTATATGTTGTCAAGTCGATTCTGAAGAATAAGTCAGGGAGACTGGTAAGTCTGAAATATCAGCCTTGGTTAGCAGCCCAGTCAGTGCTTAACTACTGCACCACTAAGGCTCCTTCGTTTTCTTCACAAAATGTTTAAAATAATATCACAAATCCTTTTTTTTAATTAAGAAATTTCTTCCTTTAAGGCCAGAAATAAGATCTTTCTCATTTTTACATCCATGTCTAGCTATATAGAGCACACAATAAACACTGTAACTTCAAAAGAAACTTTATAAAGTTTCATACTCTAATTTCAATTTATTCTTACCTACCAACTAAATTAGGAGCTCTGGTAGCATAGTGGTTACGAATCAGGCTGCAAACTGCAAGCTGCAGTTCAAAACTACCAGCTGTTCCACGGGAGAAAGATGAGGCTTTCTGCTCCTGTAAAGACTTACAGCCTTGGATTGGAAACCCTGTACAGGGGCACTATGAGTTGGAACCAACTCCACAGCACTTAACTATTACCACCACCACCAAATAAATTGGTTTCCTGAGAACCAGTAACAGGAATACTATTATTCTATGTTTACCCTGTTTTCTTGGTGCTAAGATTTCCTTTCTTGAAAAAAGCCTATTGAGCGTAGAACAAACAAGATGGTGGATTGGGTGGACGTGCAGTGAGGAGCTCCGTCAGCAACAACACAGAATACTGGACCAAGCAGGCTCAGGGGATGGTCCCAGAACTCTGAACTACATATAAAGGAATATTTAGAAGGATGGAAGGCTTACAGCTAGGGGAATTTGTAGCAGAAGCAAGAAATCCATTGCTTTCTAATTCAAGACGTTCAGCTGCTTCCGGAGCCACCAACATATAATAACATACAATGGTATAACATATAACAATCACAACTATCAAGAAAACTATTGCTTACAAGTGATAAACTATCATCCAGCCTCTGTCCAAATGATGTATGCTGACCAAATAATCCAAGAAGCTGGGTTATATGAAAAAAATAGGGCATCAGGATTGGAGGAAGACTCATTAACAACCTGCGATATGCAGATGATACAACCTTGCTTGCTGAAAGTGAAGAGGACTTGAAACATTTACTGATGACGATCAAAGAGCACAGCCTTCGGTATGGATTACATCTCAATGTCAAGAAAACAAAAATCCTCGCCACTGGACCAATAAACAACATTCTTATCAACGGAGAAAAGATGGAAATTGTCAAGGACATCATTCTTCTTGGATCAACTATCAACACTCATGGAAGCAGCAGTCAAGAGATCAAGTGATGTACTGTATTAGTCAACTCTGCTGCACAAGACCTTTTTAAAGTGTTGAAGAGCAAAGATGCACCTGATCCAAGCCACGGTATTTTCAATAACTTCATATGCATGCAAAAGACGGACAGTGAATAAGGAAGACCACAGAAGAATTGATGCTTTTGAGTTATGGTGTTGGAGGAGAATATTGAAAGTGCCATGGGCTTCCAAAAGAACCAACAGATCTGTTTTGGAAGAAGTGCAGCCAGAGTGCTCCTTAGAGGCCAAGAGGCCAAACTTCGTCCCTCATACTTTGGACATATTGTCAGGAGGGGCCAGTCGCTGGAGAAAGATATCATGTTTGGTAAAGTGGAGGGTCAAAGAAAAATAGGAAGACCTCCAACGAGATGGACTGGCCAAGTAGCAGCATCGATGGACTCAAGCGTGGCAACAGTAGTGAGGTTGGCCCAGGATCAAGCAGTGTTTCGTTCTTCTGTGCATAAGGTCTCTATGGGTCGGTACCAACTCAATGGCACCTAACAACAACAACAACCTAAAACAGGGGGCGGGGAGGAAGGCCGATAAAGGCATGCAGTGACTGGCTTACAAGATTTCAAGAGGGAGTTTAGTTTAAGAGTATGGAGGGAAAGAAAGAGTCCCCATTGAATAGATTTCATCTTGTCTGTATGGGTCTGGTGAAAAGAGATGGGGATAAGATTTGTATGATTCAATAGTGAATAACTGTTATCATGACTAACTGCAACTGTCACAATTGTAAAGGTAGAAGTTTTGTAACAAAAACAGGGGAGTGGTTAACCTTACCGTCCAGAAACAGAGGACCCTAAAATCATCAAGGGAGAAGAGCACAAGCAGAATGCAGGACCTGATCCAGAGAAGCAGCAACAGACATGGAGGCAGAGATGGGGTCATGGAGAGGGGGAGTGGCTGAGGACTCTCGATTCATGGGAAGAGAGGGACTCAGAGCTGGTGGCCAGGAGGCAGACTTGTAGAATTTGCCCTTTGGAGGTGTAAATTATTATATATGCCTGAGTGTTCTTTTTGTGTTTTTTTTTAAAAGCTAAAGTGGATAGAGAGAAATACTGTTAACTGATGGTACATGGAAGGGATTATAATCATTATAATGAAACAAGGTGTATGATTTGTTGAATGTAAAACTGATGATGTGCCCTGTAAACTTTTACTCAATCCACAATAAAAACCTTAAAAAAAAAAGGCTATTGAGGTTACAAAATTCCCAACTGATGATGTCCCCAATCAGCTCATATAAATGATATGGAAAAATAAGGTTTCTACTTACCATGTAGTTACCATAAGCATGATCAAACATTTCCAGCACTTGATTCCTAATTTAAAAAAAAAAAGAAAGAAAGAAAGGAAAAAGGTTATGTGCATTCTATGTACTATCTTTCAAACAGTTAATGATACCTTATAAAATCACACCAAGAAAACAGAAAAGAAAAACTTATTTAGAGGGGGACATACCCAGAGCCAGGAAACACATCATGAACTCATGAACTTACCATACAGAGCTGGACCAGACTTTTACTTTTTCTAATCATTTAAATAAGTTTACTTGATAACTTTTTCTGTGAAAATTAATGAATGACACATGTTATACAGAGGGAAATTTGATGCTGAAAAACGATTCCTCTTTACACAGTATTTAATCTGTTTTGAGAGGGAAAAATGTTGCTGTAAAGCTCAAAAAAAAAAAAAAGCCCCATAAACAATTATTGATACCACTTACTGTGGAACTCTGGTAGTGTACTGGTTAGAATCAGGCTGCGAACCGCAAGGTCAGCAGTTCAAAACTACCAACTGTTTCGCTGGAGAAAGATGAGGCTTTCTGCTCCTGTAAAGATTTACAGCCTTGGAAACCCTGTGCAGGGTCGCTATGAGTCGGAGCCTACTCCACAGCACATAACAACAACAACAACAACCAAAATGAAAGCATTAATACACAAAGAGATTGGTGTGTTCTGCTCTTTCTCAAAACCCTCAAGATAACTGTTTAAAATGGAGATTTCTGCTCTGGTAGCACAGTAGTTATGAGTCTGGCTGCTAACCTCAAGGTCAGCAGTTCGAAAGTACCAACCGTTCAGTGGAAAAAGATTAGGCTTTCAGCTCCTGTAAAAATTGACAGCCTCTGAAATCCTATACAGGGTCCTTATGAGTCGGAACCAACTCCACAGCACACCACCACCACCACCACACCAGATTTCTTAAATACGAATCTATGAGGCTGGGACCAAGATATTTTAAATCAGTACTTTCAAATTTGGAAGAAGGAAGGCTACCAGAAAAACTAGTAATGCTATGACTGTGCTGTTGTGTGCTTTTTGTCAATTCCAACTCATAGCGCTCCTAGAGGACAGAGTAGAAGTATCCCATAGGGTTTCCCTAGGCTGCCATCTTCATAGGAACAGAGCACCAGGTCTTTCCTCCAACAAAGCCACCAACCACCACACAGTGCCAATGCTTCGAATCTGACACAGTGATCCTGCAGGGCAGAGTAGAAGGACTCCTTAGGGTTTCAGAGGGTAAATCTTTTCGAGAGAAGACTGCCTTATCTATCTTCCTCAGTGTGGCTGGTGAATTTGAATTAATGACCTTTCAGTTAGCAGCCAAATGCCTTTAACCACTGCTCCTTAATGTTATGACTTCGTTGTTGTTGTTATTGTTAAGTGCCATTGAGTCAGTTCCGACTTACAGCAAACATGTATAGAGTTCCTGAGGAATAACTGGTGGGTTTGAACCTCCAACCTTGTGCTTACCAGTCTAGTGCTTACCTTACAGCACCACTCTAGGAATCAATAATTAGAAAGGGAAAATAAAGTATCTTGATAAATTTTATCAGGTCTTACCATTCCCAAAGTTCAATCATTAACAGAAAGAACAAAAGAATATATTAAAAATATTTTTTATACTTTCCTGTATCTTTATTTTACTTCATGTTACATGAAAATTATCATTCTAAAAAAAAAAATGTAATCATGGATAAGTAAATGTTGGTAATAATAAAGTTCGCAGACAGAAGAAACATTAATTTTTGGATTCTGGCTCTAACGACTAGCAAAATCAAGTACACTCAAACTTGTGAAATAAACTAAACTCTGACCTTTTAATTAATAGTAACCATCCAAAAAAAAATCTAGTCATTAAAAAACAAGACTTTACCACCATTTTGCTAAAATATTGCTATGTATTTGCATGTATGGCAGACAATGGGTCAAGCCATCCAGAAATGATGTAGATAATTTTGGGACTCTATCTCGATACTATCTCTCAAATTAGCCAACTACTTAAGCTTAAAAAAGGGGGAAATGGGTAAAACTATCCCTTTAGAATACAGATACCAATAAAAAGAATATAGAGATTTTTGTTTGTCCTCCCTTGAAATAGAATAAATACAATATAACTGTTAAGAAGTATAAATCCCTGTAATTGGTAAGGGTAGTGCCTAGACATGTGTATTAAAGATGACAGCAGAACTTCTATTAATTACTGAGGGTAGTACCTAGACATGTGTGTTACAACTTCAATTTGCTAACCAAACTTTGCAAGCAGTCAGTTTTCAAAACTATGAGTAAATCATGATTGCATACAAGGAGGACACATTGCTTTCCAATCCTTACATTTATGCAGCATATAATCAACAAATTTCATAACACATACTTTCAAAATAGAGATATTTAATATCCAGTTGCATCCCCTAGGACCTACTGCAATTCTTAACATAAAATCTAAATGCAGAATGGCAACATTATTAAATATAAATAATGTTTCCATTAAATTTCCTATCTTTTCTTGTTGTTAAGTGCCATCAAGTCGATTCCGACCCATAGCGACCCTGTATAGAGTTTCCATGGAGCAGATGGTGAGTTTGAACCACTGACCTTGCAGTTCAAACGACTTTGCAGTCTGACGCACTGGCCCACTGCACCACACCAGGACTCCGTATCTCTTCTATAGCTAGATAAATATGTATTGAAAATCAGATCCACTGACCAAAATTGTCTTGCTTCAGTTTGAAATGATTTATAAATCAGCTTTTTCTGTTACTTGCCTACCAACTATACTGCAGAAATTGGACTGTTTAAGATTTCATTATTTACTTTTAAATGAAAAGATAACACAGTAATGCAAACAGTTAAATGCATGACTACCAGCCAAAAGGCTGGAGGTTCAAACCCACCCAGCATCACCTGGGAAGGTAGACCTACTGATATTTTCTGAAAGCTCACAGCCCTGAAAACCCTATGGTGCTGTTCTACTTCGTATACATGGGTCACATGAGCTAGAATCCACTCGATAGCAACAAACAACACACTACTTAAAAAAACTAACAACAATTATTTCAGAGAGGCTAGGTCTACTCATATAACCAAGGAAATAATTCCACAAATTATATAGTGCAGGCAAGTGAACAACTGCTTGGTATCTCTAACTATTTTAGGGGATAGGAAAAGAGATGGAGCATTTTCTGTTGTACATCATACATTATTTGGGCTTTAAAAAAAAAAGAAAACCACACAGGTAAACCTAATGAATCAGAGTTCAGTTTCTAGAAAATTCCCCAAAGGGGTCACATAATTACACATTTGTGGTTTATACCTCTAGACTCTTACTCTCTTGCTCTCAAGATGTTGTTGTTAAGTGTCATCGAGTTAGGCCTGACTCATAAGGGTTTCCAAAGCTGTAAATCGTTGCAGGAGCAAAAAGCCTCCATCTTTCTCACGAGGAGCGGTTGGTGGACCTTGTGGTTTGCAGTCCAGGGCTTATTGTATGGAGCCAACACACTCCCTTATTCTAGAGTAAGGCAATCAAAATGAACCAATCAAATCACTGAAATGTCACCTTCTGAAACAATCTCAAAAACTTAAGCAGAAATCTTAAGTCGATTTGGTCCTACTTTTACAGTTAAAAAGTAATTTGGGTAAAAATGAGTTACACATGACTTTTTTCAAATAAATTTTTTGCTTTATTTTCTGTTGTAGTTTAAGTGAAAGTTTAGAGCAAATTAGTTTTACAAATAAAAAGTTTTAATAAAGAATAAGGAATGGTGGCCAAATAAAATATTTGCTATCCTTATAAGCTACTTCTGACCTGACTCACCAATATTATGGAAGTATACCATGCGAAGACAACATGGGCTCTGGGGTCAGACAGAAGATCCATGGTGGCATGGTGGGTTAAGCAATGGGCTGCAAACCAAAAAGTTAGCAGTTTAAACACACCAATAGCTCTGTGAGGAAAAGGCTGCCTGCACTCATAAAGATGTACACCCTAAGAAACCCTAAGGAGCAGTTCTATCTGTCCTATAAGGTTGCTATGAATTGGCAGTGGGTGAGTGGGGTCAGACACACTTGGGTTTGAACAGACTCCATCATTTAGTAATTCTATGGCCTTGAGCATTTCAACCTTAAGTAAATTAAAACTTAAGGAAATTAAACCTCATTTGTAAAATGGGAATGCATCCATGTCACTTAGAAATGGTAAGAATTATATAGAGCTAGCATATGTAAAGTATCTGGCACGGAGTGGGGTATTCAGCAAAAAAAAAAAAAGTTACCAATGATACATTCGTAAAGAGGATCTTTTATCAATTGAAACTTAAGACAATTAACTATTAGGGCTTACTGTGGCACTTAACAACAATTGTGACACTGTAGGGAACAGCACTGAACTACAAACCACAAGGTAAGCAGTTCAAACCCACCAGCTGCTCCTCTAAAGTCCTATGTTGTTGTTGTTAAGTGCCATCGAGTCGGTTTCGACCCATAGCGACCCTGAACAGGGTTTCCGAGGCTGCAAATCTTTACGGGAGCAGATCGCCTCATCTTTCTCCCGCGGAGCAGCTGGTAGTTTCGATACAGGGCACTATAAGTTGGAACTGACTCAAGAGCGCTTAACAACAACAATACTATGGTAAAGATTTACAGCCTCCAAAACCCTATACAGAGTTTCTATGAGCCAGTACCAACTCGACAGCACTTAACAACAACATTGATCACTTTGCTTGATAGTTAATGTAACCCCACAATGTAACTATTTTTCCACTTTCTCTTCTGGGCTTAATTTTTTTCTACTAAAAAAAATGGAATAGCAGCACATCTTTAATGGTGACATTATTATTCAACAATTTGCATAGTCTTTTCCCTGGTGCTATATACTGGATAAGAGTCCTGGTGTGGCGCTGTGGGTTAATGTGCCAGACTGCAAAGTTGTTTGAACTGCAAGATCGGCGGTTCAAGCTCACCAGCTGTTTCTCACAAACCCTCTACAGGGTCGCTACGGGTTGGAACTGACTAGATGGCACTTCACCACAACAACAAATATACTGGATGGAGTCCTAGTACAGTACTGCACGATAAGCACTGGACTGCTAACTGCAAGATCAGCAGTTCAAATTCAGCAATCATTCCTTGGAAACCCTATAAAGGATCGCTATGAGTTGGAACTGACTTAACAGCACTTAACAACATATACTACATAGCCCTCCAATGATGGACCTCCTTCTTTAACTACTGAGAGATCAGCACCATTTCCCTAGCTGGGGTTCAAGAATGCTAAAATTCTAAACCATGCCTCCTAGGAAAGGCAGCCATAGGATTCTCTCAGTCAGGCGGCAGCATCAGCTAGAGACCCCTTTCACTGAAAGCTACTTTGACACATCTCTGAATATTATTCTATAATACACTTGTACCATATTCAACTATTTCCCTGCAAGGAACAGTTCCCTTCTTTAAAATCACACATCCTTGAATACTTATCTACACATTAACAGTGCTCTTATTTTTGTAAGGTAAATTCCAAAATAAAAGGGATAGATAACTCAAACAATATGTACAATTAAAATTTTGGTAGAAAAAAATCAATCAACAATAGTAATTTATACTCTTATCAAGTATTTTCTCAGATCATAACTAGCCAGTAGTATGCATGTGTTTTACTTTCACAAATCTGATGGATAAAATCCAGCTATTTTATTGTTTTAATATGCATCTTTCACATTTGTGAAGATGAGTTATGTTCACATCAAATGACCATTTGCATTTCCTCTTCTATTAATTAACTATTAATACTCTGTGTCCATTTTCTACTAAGCTATTGATTTTTTAAAAATTCATCTGTGGGGTCTCACTATACAGTAAAAATACTGGCTTTGAATTAAATGCTATTATGTATAAAGGAGCTCTGGTAGCGTAGTGGTTACGAATTAGGCTGTGAACCACAAGGTCAGCAGTTCGAAACTACCAGATGTTCTAAGGGAGAAAGATGAGGCTTTCTGCTCCTATAAAAATTTACAGCCTTGGAAACCCTGTACAGGGTCACTATGAGTTGGAACCGACTCCACGGCATATAACAACAACGTGTATAATGCAATTTTTATTGTGATACTTTCAAGACTAATAAAATTACTTTGAGTGAGGTGAGAAATACTTAATTGGGGCTTTTGAATAATTCCATCAAATATTCTGTTCTATCGTCACGTGCTGGGCAGGAGCTCTGGTAGCGCAGTGATTACGAATCGGGCTGCTAACCTCAAGGTCGGCAGTTCGAAACTCCCAGCTGTTCCGCGGGAGAAAGATGAGGCTTTCTGCTCCCGTAAAGGTTTACAGCCTCAGAAACCCTGTGCAGGGTCACTGAGTCGGAATCGACTCCACGGTACTTAACAACAACAACATAATCATGTGCTACAAAACTTCTGTTTGGGCAACATCCGACCACATGTATGTCTATGTTCCCACAAGGTTATAAGAATTCAGAAATTCCAATCACAGAATAGGAAACAGTAAACACAACAGCTTCCTGCATGCAACACATATAGCGTAACTCATGCCTCTTGTATACAAAGCAATTGAGCTGCCAGGTATACATTAGCACAGTACATACAAGGGCGTTTCAACAAGTCCATGGAAAAATGAAACAGAAAGGAAATGTGTGTTGGTGATTTTTCACGAATGTTTTGAAGTCCTTTCATATATAGCCTATAATACATGTCTTCATAGTCATAATAAATGCTTATGTTAATGGCTTATGTATATAGTACACTATCCTTTCTACCTAAAAAGTTTACTGTATAGCACTATATGCTTTAACTTGCAAGCAGCAGCATCCAATCTTGTGTATTGCACATCTCTTAAGTGTTAGAGCAGTATGTTTTTCTTTCAAAACATTACTGTGAAATGCACCATGGCTCCTAAAGCAGCAAAACCAGTGCTAGTTATAGCAGTAGCAAAAAGCAAAGGGGAAGTATCATTTGAAAGTGAAACAAAAGGTGATTAAACAACATCAAGGCATAAAATCAGTGAATGCTATTGCTCTACTGCTTGTGAGTTAGGCATGTAGTACTCCACAGAAAACACAGTCCTGAAAAAACAAAGGAAAAATGCTAGACGCTGTTAAACAATCAGCGCCACTGAGATTTACCAAGCTAATGAAAATGACTGAGGGACCTATATCAGATATGGAGAAATTGTTAATGATGTGGATTGAGGACCAAACACAAAAGCAAAGCCCCCTCAGCATGCTAAGGCATCAAACTGTTGGAGATTCTTAAAGAAAAGTAAGGTCTAGCCTACCATATGGTGTCTGCACAAGGTCCAAGTCACATAACATCATATTTCACAAAACATATACATTCTGGACGTTAAGCATGACTGTATTATGAAAATATATACAACACTAGTGTGGCACTGTTGGATAAGCACAGGGTTGATGGTTCAAACCCACCAGTCGCTCCTTGGAAACCCTATATAGGGTCGCAGTGAGTCAGAACTGACTCAGTGGCACTTAACAGCAACAACATACAACACTGAAACAGTAAAATGTGCAAAGTTCAAGTTCTAATAAACGTCCTTTTCCCGTGACAGGTGTAAACACGATTTCCTTAACTACTGTAATTATCAGCAACATTTTCCTAGCTGGGAGCTCGCTAGGGCGAGAAATCTACACCATACCTCCTAGGAGAGCCAAACGCAGGACTCTCCCAGCCTGAGGCACAATCTGGAGCCCCCTTCAAGGGCCACTGACATGGCAGCTGTCGACAAGGGGCCCGAACACATCACCGATGGCCAGGGCGACACCCAGACAGCCCCCCGAGGTCACATCGCGGACGGTGACCCCCGCCTTCTCGGACCCTGTCCACCCAGCTAGTGAACACTAGCTGTTCCCAGTCGTGAAAGGAACGGCCCCTGCGCTCCCGGGAAGCAATGACAGGAACCTCGCCTGAGGCCAGCCTCAAAGGAAACCCACCCCAGATGCCAAGCACCCTTACCCAAGCTTCTGTTTCTCCTCCTTACTCATGGGCGCGGCCCCCGCCGTCCACACGGACGTGGCTGACACCAGGCAGAGCGCGGCTGTCGCCGCTACCAGGCTCCATGGCGCTCGCTGGGGGACCGGGGACCCACAACCTGGGCCGCCGCCGGCTTCGCTCATGGCCCCACGGTTCCGCGCACGCGCAGCTGCTACGCCCGGCCAGTGGAACACATCTCTGGACGCCGGTGGCGAGAAGGCTGCGAGCCGAGCGGAGGGCGGGATGCGGAGTAACGCTGGTGGCCGCCTGCAAAGAGCTGTTTTTCCCGAAGCCACCAAGCCGGTCCCCAGCGCCAAAGCTGCCACTGCCGCCACCACCCTCCGCCCTCGGCAGCCCAGGAGCACCTCCCCCAGCTTTCCGGTGTCGTAGTCTAGGAAACTGCCTCCCCAGCGGTACTTCCGGGTAGGGCCCAAGTGGTGGAGCCTCAGCACCAATGAGGACCTGATCGTAGCGAGGCTGGCTCCTGCTACTGGAGAGGGTACTGGCCGATAGCTGTGAAACGTGGACAAAAGGAGGAACTGGGGCGGGACCTCTCGCTTAGGCCCTCCTCAGCCCAGCGAACGTGAGACCTGAAGACTACCTGTCCCAGAGTGCACTACCTTCACGGCTGTTTTCACCCACATCCTACCCGGGGCCGCCCATCTACACTTCCACGCTGGGGCGCGCTGCACGCTGGGATGTGTGGTCCGTCTGAGAGTCACGGGCGGACCCCGGGATTCCTGGTCCCCTAGCGTCCTGCAATCAGCCCTACAGTGGGCAGCTGAGTCCTGGGCAACCAGTCAAATACTTATCCCTCCTCCTGTCCGGAGAACTGACAGGCTTGTTGTATACCCCCAGAATGGTCCTGCATGCTGGAGTAGTCTTCTGCCCTCACAGAGCTTACCAAACAATATCAGCAAAATAAATTGAGTCTTTAACAGCGTTTTTCTGAGGGTAGTGCTTACATTCTCTCATATACTCTACTCAAGTCTAATATTATGAGGCTAAGTCAAAAACTATTGCTACTAGGTTGAACCATAAAGCTCATGTTCTCCCATGTAAACATAATTCACAATAAAACATTCAAAAAAAAAAGTATTCTCGAGAATCCAGATATTAACCCAACCACTTACAGCCAAATGATTTTCGACAAAGTGCGTAGGCACATTGGATGGGGAAGGGACAGTCTCTTTATCAAATGTGCTGGCAGAACAGGTAAGCGATATGTAAAAGACTGAGACAAGACCTTTGCCTCACACCCTATACAAAAATGAACTCAACATGGATTAAAGATCTAAATGTGAATCCTAAA